TTGGTGTTGTGATCCATTTAAAAAAAATTTTTAAATATAGCTTTTTCCATTAAAACATTAGTGTAGGGTGGGACTTGACTTTGATCTGGATTTGGTTGGATAAAAAATGTTGAATAAAATGTGTAAGGCTGTGATGTTAATGGTTACTTTATGTTTCCCCACCCACTTGGAGTTATATCAACAGTCATGTTGAAAGTGGAGAATGTTATAAAGTAGGGATGTAACGATTCACTCAACTCACGATTCGATTTGATTCACGATTCGATTTGATTCACGATTTATTACTTTTTTTACAAAATGAGATTTAAGACAAATTATATTAGGGGGCCAACACTTTTTCACACCACTGTAAATGACAAAATTTAAATATAATGTAAATGTAAATAAAAAACTAAATTGAAATTTTAAAACAAGCCCCAAATCAAATAAATAATCCCTATTATAAAGAGTAAAGGCAAACATGATTTCATGTTGTCCTTGAACCATATTGTTTTTGTATTCTATTTGCAAGATCAAGTGATCTAGTCAGACAACAGAGTTTTTAAGTGTGGGGTCAGCCCCCACAGCGGTTGCCATGGTTACAGGCCTGGGGGCAACGTGCGCATCCATCCTGGGAGTGCCATGTGCAGTGAGCTGGCCGAGTGAGGGAGAGAGCGGGACAGCAGCTGTGCTTCTGCCCAGGAAACACATCAGGAGGTCAGACAGCTGCTGGAGCTGCCATACTGTCACTCTCCACAGAAACACTCCCCATGAACTTCATCAAGTTGTGAGACATTATATAAGTTGGACCTGGGTTTGTTGTCAGGGCAGGATTCCCAGAATGAGCAAATGTTTTTGTAGGGATAAAAACAGACTTTATTATGGAGCAGGTTATACAAAGAATGAACAAAAACTGTTGAATTCAATGAGTAAGTAGCACTTTAAATATCTTTGTGACACCATTTTGTGATAGAAGAAAGAAAGAAGTGCTTGTGCGTGCAAAACCCGCAATGCTGGGAGTTGTAGGTGGTTGCCAGACATTGCTGTGCAGTTGCAAAGGTGTTTTGAGTGGCTTTTAGGGCATTGCAATGTGGTTACAGGGATATTTTGGATAGTTTCAAGGCAGTTGCTTAAAAGTCCCTCTTTTAATTTAATTTTAGGGGATCTTTTTGCTTTTTTTTGTAAGTCAGTGCTTTGTTACTGTCATGTTTGGCACTCATGTCTCACTTGACACGTTTTCATGTTGTGTGTCTTGCGATGCATTTTTATGATGGTGTATCACAAATATATATAAATACTAATTTTAAAAAAGTTTTTTTTTGTGTGTGTGTAACGTGTGTATATATATATAATATAGTATATATAAACACACACAGTATATATAGTATATATATATATATATATATATATATACAGTGTATATAAAAATTTGCTAATTTTTTGTGTATTTTTTTTACAATTGTTCCACTGCCATAAATATATAAACGTATAAATATACATATTTAGAATTTCTAATAATTTTTTTAATATATATGTATATTTTACTGATTTGACTAATTAAAAAAAAAAAAAAAAAAAAATTTTAACAACCATGGCC